ATGGAAGGATTATTTTCTTAGCATTCATATTGTGAGAACTAATTAATTAACTTGCTAAGTGAAACCTTTTATATTAAACTGTGCAGGAGAACAAGAACAATTATTTTTTTCATGGTGTTCACTCTATCATATTTTGTACTGAAAAGTCTCAATTATACTTTAGTATGTGTTGTAAATACTTCTTAAATACATAATAAAGAACGTTTTATCTTTTGCTAATAAGATGCAGTTAATTATTTGACAGCACTGTTTGCAACAGGTACTGTACAGTATGTGCCACAATTGTTTTTTGTCAATACAGTCTTAATTAACACAAATGCAAATGCAATTTGCAAAACATAATGTAATTCCTGATGCCATTAGTTTCAATACTCGATACTGTAATGCTTCAATCCTGTATGCCACAACTTTAGGGAAAAAATACACAGGTGTTATTTGTCATATCTATGCTGATGACATCCAGCTTTATATTACAGTTAAGTGACATGCAGTTTATGTGAATCCTTATCAGGGCTTTCATGGTGTATCAGTGTGTCAGATATTCATAAATGGATTAGCTACTATTTCTTACACTAAATGTCAGCAAAAAAAAGGCTTTGCATGTTGTGTCTTTAAAAGTTAAAATCTGTTATAATACAGGACCTCTGATGCTCAGTTTAGTAATTTTTCTTACTAAACTTTGTTGCTTCTTTTTAATGTTTCCTATTTGCTCATCTTGAAAAAAATGTCTAAACTCATTTTAAGTTATGTGCTATGTAATTTTTATTTAATTAAAACAATATAATTTCTCTCTGCGTTCCTTTATTGCATCCTTCAATGTCCTCCATTCTTCCATTTCTCTTACTGTAGGTGAAAAAAATTAACCTAAGTGATGAACCATGATAGTTAAAGCACATTAACTCCTCCTTGTTATGGTCTGATTTATTCATTGATGTGTAGTAGACCTTGCACATTGTGTCTGTTCAAAAATATCTTAAGGGAGATTACATTTTCTATAAATAATTTTCTATCTTCTATCTTCTTTTTGTAAATACAAAATCTTGAAATACCACTAAACTGAGAGCAGCATATAAACCAGAATCATATTGAATGGTAATTGTTTGTAAGTATTGATGGCAAGATTGATCTTGCAAGGTTCTCTTAAATACATCACTTGCCTAAAACCATAGATAACAATAGTTGTGACCAATTAAGTAAATAATTGGCTAATTCAGTCTGAGTGCAGGGCTGTGCAATTCTGGGGCTTGTGCAGGTTTTCTAGGTCTCTTTTAAGCAGCAGCATATGAAGAAAGGGGGGAAGCAGTTAAATTGGTCAAGTTAAGCCAATAACAAGCTGACAAGGTCATTAGTTGAGTTGAAGCGCCACTTGGGTGGAACACAAAAAGACTATTGACAGCCTAGATTTGAGCACACTGAAATCAACCAAAAGTGGCCTTTGTCACAATGTCTGAGTGAAAATTCATTTCCAAGTTGCATGAAGACACCTTCCTTTTGTTCTTTGATCTACACATATATCATTACTTCTGGCATATGGAAGAGCATGATCCAGACATACATGAATATAGTGATAACCTGTGCATTCTTGTTTTTTTTCCTTATCTCTTAAAATGTGCTCTGAAGACAGAAAGGTAATTATCTACGGTAGTTCAATTAATGTTGTTGTTATCTAATAGTTTAGTTGCAGATATTCATTACCCATTGACAGTGAAGTTTTTTTATTGATTGATTTCTTTGAAAATTTGAATTCGCACTAACAGTCCTGTTCTTCCAGTAATTCTGGGAACACACATACACATGATAAAAGTGAATCATCACCATAAAGCAACAGCTGTCACTATCATCCCACATCATAAGTGAATGAGTAGTAATATTTGGGTAAATGTTGTGTTCTAACATAATGTCTATGTAGAAATGTTACGATCCCTGCCTCCCGGCAACGGAAGAGGCAGAAGAAGGCGTAGCCTTACTTCATCAGTCTACCTATCAGTTTTCTTATTCACCACCACACCCCTGTCTCATCCTGTACTTAAACACCTGTCTTTTCCTACCTCATCGCTCAGTATTGGTTTTCCTTCTTCTGCTTTGTGTCATTCTTGGTTTTCGGATTACAGTTTTTCCCCCTTTGACGACGGTTTTTCGGATCACGGCTTGGCTTCGGTACTCACGCTCTGTTTTGGATCTCTGGCTTCCCCTGGACTCTTGGATTGCTCTATTGTCTACAGTTTCGGATCACAGTTTGGCTTCAGTAACTCATTCCCTGTTTGGATCTCTGGCTTCCCCTGGACTCTCGGCTCGTTTCTTCGACTACGGCTTTCTTTGGATCACGGCTAGGCTCTATCAGCTCCTGCGAGTGGGTTCATTCACTGGTTTCGGTTTCTCTTACCGAATCCCTGACAGAATACTGAACCATTTAACATGGACCCAGCAGAGCAAGAGGAGATTCGCCCGGTTTTGGATCAGCACTGGCAAGCCTTACTCCAGTTACAGGCTTCCGTTCAACAGATTTCCGCGCACCTGTCGGCAATGCCGCCTACTGGCAATCGAGAAAGCAACCCTGGAGCTGCCGCTTCAGCTCCGCCCCCGCCAGTTCCTACACCTGCCCCTCGACTTCTTCCACTTACTCCACCTGATAGGTTTGACAGCAACCCTACGAAATGTCGGGGCTTCTTAGTACAGTGTGCGCTGGTTTTCAGGCTCCATCCGGAAACTTTTTTTTCTCCGCAGGACAAGATTGCCTTCATAGTTTCACTGTTAACCGGCCGTGCTTTGGAATGGGCTACTGCCCTGCTAGATCGTGGGGCCCCCGAAGTTCAGGATCATGATCTCTTTTTAGGAAAATTTAAGGGTTTTTTTTGTCCTCCCTTAGTTGGTCAAGACTCCGCCTTCCGCCTCTCCTCCATCCACTAGGGCCGCAGGTCTGCATAAGATTATGCCATAGATTTTCGAGTAGCAGCAGCGGAGACTCACTGGGATGATGAGGTCCTTATTTTTCTTTTTCGTCAAGGACTTTGTGAAGAAATAAAGGACCACCTGGTAAATATGCCGCAGTTGGGCAGAACCTTGGAGGAAGTAATTTCCCAGGTGTTGGAATTAGAGCTTAGAATTCGTCAGAGGAGTACAGAACAGATTTCAGACACCAATACTAGAGGCTCCTCGGCCATCACCTACCAGAACTTTACACTCAGAACAACCTATGGAAATAGCCTGCACCCGGTTAACCCCTGAAGAAAGAGAGAGACGCCAACGAGAGGGTCGCTGCATGTACTGTGGAAAATTAGGACACTTCAAAGCTGACTGCCCTGCTTCATACTCATCCTTGAGGCGCCGCCCACTTTCTCAAGGTCCTAAGGTGAGTGAGATAACGCAATCCCCTCAGTTTTCCTCAGGATTTTCTATTCTATCTACACTTTTCTGGGGTAATAAACAGATGCCTCTTCGTGCTTTTATTGACTCAGGGGCGGCAGGAAACTTTATTGACGCCTCCATTGCTCAAACTTGGAACTTACCCTTGACCCTGGTGACTCCACCTCTTCGTGTTAAATCTATTGATGGTTCCCCAGTATCTCCAGGATTTATTAGGTGGCTGAAATTATAAGCTTGCAGATTGGCCCCACCCATGTGGAAGACATCTGGTTTTATCTCCTTGAGACCCCAACACATCCCCTTGTACTAGGCTTTCCTTGGCTACAACAGCATGACCCTAACATTTCATGGTCCCGTAAAGAAATTTTAAATTGGGGACCATGATGTATTAGGAATTGCTGTCATCTACCCATAAGAATTGCACTCACGGTGACGTCCCCTTCTAGTGTTCTTACCACACCCCCTCAATATTCTGATCTACAGGAAGCATTTAATGAACAGGAGGCCTTGGCCCTCCCAGCTCATAGACCATATGATTGTGCCATTGACCTTTTGCCAGGTACTATCCCTCCTAAAGGTTGTATATTTCCGCTCTCCAATTCTGAATCTGAGGCCCTGAAAGTATACATACAAGATTCTCTGAAGGCTGGACTTATATGTCCATCCACTTCACCTGCATGTGCCAGTTTTTTTTTTTGTGGAAAAGAAGGATGGTGGGCTCCGTCCCTGCACTGATTATCGTGGCCTCAACGAGATCACAATCAAGAATCAGTACCCTTTGCCTCTAATTCCAGCAGCACTCAAGTCTGTGCACGGGGCCAAGATCTTCACCAAACTGGATTTACGAGGGGCCTATAATCTAATCCGCATTCGGGAAGGGGATGAGTGGAAGACGGCATTCATGACTACCCATGGACATTACGACTATTTGGTCATGCCTTTTGGTTTGGTTAATGCCCCAGCAGTGTTTCAGACTTTTATTAATGACATTTTTCGTGATCTGCTACAAAGATTTGTCTTGGTGTATTTGGATGACATTCTAATTTTTTCTAATTCCTTCCAGGATCATGTTCTCCATGTCAGAGAAGTACTCTCCCGGCTCATTAGGAATAAACTTTATGTCAAACTGGAGAAGTGCACCTTCCATGCTTCCAAGATTCATTTTTTAGGTTACATCATCTCTCCAGAGGGGGTGGAAATGGATTCGAATAAAGTCTCCGCAATTAGTGATTGGCCCGCACCCAAGAATCTCAAACACATACAATGATTTCTCGGCTTTGCTAACTTTTACAGGAGGTTTATTCGAAACTTCAGCTCAGTGGTCCCTCCAAGAAGCTCTTTAACTCAAAAAGGACCAAGACAAGGTAAATGGACCCCTCAAGCAGAATAGGCATTTCAGCGCCTGAAACACCTATTCACAACAGCCCCCATCCTAAAACACCCTGACCCTTCCTTGCCTTTTGTTGTCGAAGTGGACGCTTCTGGCCATGGTGTGGGTGCTGTTCTCTCTTTCAACGTCATGGAGAAAAACAGATTCTTCACCCCTGTGCCTTCTTCTCTAAGAAGTTATCCCTTGCACAGATGAACTATGACGTTGGTAACCGTGAGCTCTTGGCCATTAAGTTGGCATTGGAGGAATGGAGGTACTGGCTAGAGGGTGCTCATCATTCATTTTTGATTTACACTGATCAAAAAAACCTGGAGTATTTGCAATCGGCCAAACGTCTTTGTCCTTGCCAGGCCAGATGGTCCCTTTTTTATCAGATTTAATTTCCTTATCACCTACACTCCAGGCTCCCAAGAATATCAAAGCAGACACTCTCTCACGGATCCACGACCCTCCTGAGGCCGAATTGATTCCTGAACCCATCATCCCATCTGGTAAGTTCCTGGCAGCTATAAGATGGGACATTGAGGTAATAGTTCGACGAGCCTTGGTTGGACAGACGGTACCTCCTCACTGCCCTCAGGACAAATTATTAGTCTCGAATCCAGTCAGATCTGCACTTTTACAATGGGGACATGACTCCCGTTTCGCTGGAGACCCTGGATTCCTATGTACCTTGGATTTCATCTCCAGAGATTTCTGGTGACCAACTATGGCCAAAGATGTCAAGGAGTATGTCCAGTCCTGCTCTATCTGTTCTCGAATGAAGTCTTCCCGGATGAGGGCAGCAGGCCTTCTTCAACCCTTACCCATCCCTGACTGTCCTTGGACCCACCTCTCAGTTGATTTTATTACTGACCTTCCACCTAGCCAAGGACACACGACTATTATGGTAGTGGTAGATCGCTTCTCCAAATCTGCTCATTTTATTTCCCTGGCTTCTTTACCTACGGCTCGAGAACTAGCAGAATTGTTCGTACTGCATATCTTCGGTCTGCATGGCATCCCTAAAGGTATTGTTTCAGATAGGGGCCCTTAGTTTGTCTCCCGATTTTGGAAGGCCTTCTGTAAGTCGCTGGGCACTTCAGTTTCACTTACTACAGCTTATCACCCTCAGGCCAACGGTCAGACGGAATGCATAAATCAAGAACTGCTGACCTACTTACGGACCTATATCTCCTCTACCCATGATAATTGGGTGTCCTTGCTTCCTTGGGCAGAATATGCACACAATTCGTGGTATACTGCATCTACTGGCATGTCTCCTTTTAAGTGTGCCTTAGGTTATCAGCCTCCTCTTCTCCCGGACTCCCATCCCGACACGGAGGTCCCATCTGTTCAGGACTATATCGCAAACCTGCAGACCTTCTGGAGAAAGGCCAAAGCCACCCTCTTTTGCACCGCAGCTCAGCAGAAGAAGGTGACTGATCGGCGCCGCCGAATCCCACCCAGATTTCGATGTGGTCAATTTATTTGGTTGTCTACCCGTAACCTTCCTCTAAAGCAACCTTCTGGCAAGTTTGCTCCCAGGTACATTGGTCCTTTTCGTGTCCTCACCCAGATTACCCCAGTAACTTATCGGCTGACCTTGCCTCCTACGCTTCGGATCCACCCTACTTTCCATGTTTCCCTCCTTAAGCCCTTTCACAGATCCACCCTGTCTAAACCACAACAAAAACCCCCACCGCCTTGAGTAATTGATGGACTCCCTGCCTACACTGTCAATAAGATCCTGGATTCCCGATGGTCTCATGGATCCCTGCAATATCTAGTTGATTGGGAAGGCTACGGTCCAGAGGAGCGTTCATTGGTTCCGGAGAAGGATATTCTGGATCCCAACCTTATCTGAGACTTCCACCTCAACTTCCCTGATTGTCCCGCTAGGGCGTCAGGAGCCGCCCGTAGAGGGGGGGTAATGTTACGATCCCTGCATCCTGGCAATGGAAGAGGCAGAAGAAGGCATAGCCCATGTTGAATTGGACAACCTATCAGTTTTCTTATTCACCACCACACCCCTGTCTCATCCTGTACTTAAACACCTGTCTTTTCCTACCTCATCGCTCAGTATTGGTTTTCCTTTCGAGCTTCCTAGTTGCGCTACTCCTTCTTCTGCTTTGTGTCATTCTTGGTTTTCGGATTACGGTTTTTCCCCCTTTGACAACGGTTTTTCGGATCACGGCTTGGCTTCGGTACTCACGCTCTGTTTTGGATCTCTGGCTTCCCCTGGACCCTCAGATTGCTCTATTGTCTACTGTTTCGGATCACGGTTTGGCTTCGATAACTCGTTCCCTGTTTGGATCTCTGGCTTCTCCTGGACTCTCGGCTCGTTTCTTCGACTACGGCTTTCTTTGGATCACGGCTAGGCTCTATCAGCTCCTGCAAGTGGGTTCATTCACTGGTTTAGGTTTCTCTTACCGAATCCCTGACAAGAAATTCTGCTCATAAAATCATTGTATGATTTTTTCCCAAATGAAAGTTGCAACCTTGGCATTGTCTTTTCTTTTTGACAAGAGCAAGAAATCATCATGGAATGGAAACATAATTAAGTATAGATCCTAGATTAAATGTTCTGGCCACTCTTCTAATTATAACCCTCTAACCTATAGATGTACACAGTTATATTCTAAAACTTACCAAAGAATAAATGTTTGGTATTACTATTCTAACAAACATTAGTCACTTTTTTTTTCTATATTGTTGATTGTTGTATTACTGTCTGTTAGTTCAGATTCTTCACTTATGATTAGCCTCTCTTTCAAACACGATCTTTTTGGGAATTAAAGGTATAAGAACCTAAAAATTGTTCTCTGAAATTTTGATTGTGTTTGTTAAAGTTAATACCTCATATTATACTGAAGGGGCACCTTGAAGTGCCAAAGACTATACAGTATAAAACACTTTATTATTGACATAACCACAACAACATCATATCAAAGCAGCAATGGGGAAGTAATCACATACTCAGTAAAGTGGAAATTTACAAGGGAATGTAACACTTTCATAGGTAAATGCATTAAGACCACGATGAAGGACCATGTATCATTCTTTATATATAATGCATTACAGATTCAGGGAGAGTTTTGTTGCTCTTTCTGCTACTTTTTTCTTTTCTTCACTTGAATTTATTTTTTATAGGAAACCCTACTTCTAAATAGTCGGTCTATACTTGTTACTGGTTTATATGCTTTCTGCTGTGGTTATTTCACAGCCCTTTGTATGTCCTTCTGAACATCAAACATCACCTGCTTGTGATTTTCTGCCTCCTGCAGTTTTTGCTTGATTTCTTATTAAATTATTCTGAGCACAAGGCTGACATTGCATGATAAGAGCACTTAATACAATACTCAAAAAAGAAATGTAAAGAAGTAAGAAATACAAGAAATGAGAAGGTTTATATCTGAGTGGCTACAGTATCTGGCTTAAAATGGTTGGGTAAAAAGGAATAGATTTTTGCTCATACAGGTTAAATGTACAGGATGAGAACCTGTAAATTATGTTTGTTGCTTTACAACTGACCTGTAGTGAGATGAAGTCAATAATGTTAAAAGACCTCTAAATTGGAGGTGTGGTGGCAGGGTACCTGATGTTGCGGCCTCACAGCCGTCGGACCCTGAGTTTGATTCCAGACTTAGTATGTTAGCATGTTGTTGCAACTCTGTGTGGGCTTTCTCTGGGTTCTTTCTAAAGTGGCCCTGATATTAATGTGCTGTTACGCATTCCACACGTGTTCTCGCTCTCTCTCTCCTGAGTCCTGACTCCTGCAAAGGATCCATACTTCCTACCTGTCCCTTGTTACATGTGCGAATTAATGCATGTGTCCACCCTGCAATGGACAGGCATCCCATCCAGGTTGTACTCCTGCCTTGCATGATATGCGTGCTGGATTAGGCTCCAGCTCCCCACGGCCATTCGGGGATAAATTGGCTGCTGAAATGGATGCCCAGTTGGGTGGACAGATCCCTGATTGAAGATTTGTTCATTTTTGATTAATATGATTTAGATATTTAGATTCATCTGTTCTGACCAAACTATCCTATTCTCCTCCCCACATGTCCGAATGGTCATCTTCCAATGCAGAGCCTGGAATAAAGTGAGCATCTGGCTTAAAGGAGGAGCTGGATTGGAGACAGGTGCACATGATCAACTAAAATGTGAAAGAGCCGGAGTGTCCTTAAGAGGAGGGATTACAATCGTGACACTGGTAACCTGCTTTTTTCCCACATTGCAAAATCATGCTGTTCGGGTTAACAGGGTCTCTAAATGGCCACCTGATCTGTGTGTGCATATCTTGAAATACCGGTACACTGTCCAGGTGCAGGGACGCCTGATGTCCTGTGATGCTGGGTCAGATAGTTAAATACTAGTTTTAAAATACTTTTATATTATTTATATATATATCACTATAAAATGTATTATTAATGTACAAAGTATATTGATTTCATGTAGTAAATATAGTTTAATAATATATAAATATTCAATCAATGTTCATGATGTTGACTACATTTTCATGGTGAGTACCATCACAAAATAATGATTCAAACGTTCATAATGAGGTGCAGTAGATGACTTAGAAGCAATACAGAAAGTACAAGAAAGACAATTTTATGTTACAAAAAAATCAATTGCATTAAAGTAGTAAACTAACTCAGAGCAATTTTAATAATTTCCCAGACACTTACTGGAAGCTAAAAACAATTCTGTCCAAGGTTAGAAAAAAAATCCTGTTCTATTAAAAAATAGCATTCAAGAAAAACAACAAAAAGGGGAACAGTGGTTAGCATTGCTAAGGTGGGATTGTATGAGTTCCCCATGTTTGTGTGGGTTGTTTCCAGCTTTTCTCACACAATCCAAAGACATATTGTTAGGTTAAAAATTGGATCTGGCAGGAGTGTGTGTATGTGCCTGTGTGTGTCCAGCAATGGACAGGAATTCTGTTCTGATTGTATCCTGCCTTGCATATTTCGTTTGCTGAGTTAGGCTCTGGCTCCTACATACAACCCTGTTCTGGATAATGCGAGTTTGATAATGGATGGATGGAAAACAAAAAGAGATAGAAAATGTCTTCAGACTTTTTATGAATAAGAAGGTTGAGGTCTCTTTACCACTACCTGACTGGGAATTCCTGAGTGAAGACAGGAGTAAATCTCAAAAATAAAATTGGGGAATTAGAGATACAAGCAGAATCTGAGGACATCTCTCTCCGCCCAGGAATATCAGTGGTCTAAGCATGTTGAGTGATACACAGAGTGACAAAAATTGGAAGAGGAGTCTTGAGTGATTCTCAGCTTAATGATGCCAAATTTCTTTACCAACTTTAGCCTGTTGCTGGACTGTGATATAGCTCTTGCCTTCATAAAAGTAAAAGAAACTTGATATTTACAACATAGAGAGAGGGGGGATAATAAACAGTTTTAGATATAGAGAAGGGAAAAAGGGAGTATTTCAAGAGATGAGTCATGTTTCCAGAGGTTAAAAAGGAAATGCCTGTAAAAAAGGCCTGTGGGACACCAACAGTATAATCTTTAAACAGAGAAGGTCCTGCAATGAGATATATACTGTCCTGTAACATTCAGAGCATATACAGTATATATATATAATTATCAAGCTGCTAAAGGCTAAATTTAAAAACATCATGCTGGTGTCTGTGTGAGCCTTGAGATGGACCAGATTGCGCCCATTGCTTGCCAGGATTGGCTCTGGTTCCCCTGCGACCCTGTATTGGATAAAGCAGTGAGAAAATGGATGGATAGATAGAAAATGTAAGAATTAAAGAGAGAAATCTTGTGAGAAATTGTGAATAATTAAAAGGACTCGAAAGGAATCTTTAATTTGCCAGTCACCATTCTTCAATTGATTTATGCACACTGAAACCCATACTGTATGTTTTACCCAATTCAACATGAGGGCTACACTTAGGTTTATTCTTTGTGATTTAGTTGCAGTCATTTGTATATATATTTCTGACAAGAAAGTGCAAACATCATGCTTGTCAAGTACCACTACATAATCGATCAAATAATATGAATTCAAAAATGCAACATTTGTGACAAATGTACAAATGTACAAATGTACTGAAGACACATTGTACAAAGATGAGTTTTTTTTCCTACTGCTATATATACCCCTGTACTAGTAAGAGTTCAAAGTTAGGCTAAGATATAACAAAGCACTTGTGACAGTGCATAATTTTGATCCCAGATTTATAGAGATAGCCTTGTCCTGTGGGGACAAGCATTATCACAGGAAAAGATGGATGAATCAAAAAGCTATTAGGCAGAAAATCAACAGCAAGTTGACTCACAAAGCTATTAGAGTTTCAGGTATAAGATCAACAGAAAGTTGACACTTACCACTGGTCAAATCCAGTTCCTTAATTGATTAACTTCTGCTCCAGTTTCCTCCCAACAGTCCAAAACATACTGATGGGTTAATTGGATTCTGGGAAAATCTGTGATGGACTGTCGTCATGTCAATGGTGTATCTTGCCTCACACCTGTTGCTTGAGAGGTTAGGCTTCGGCTCCACCACGACCCAGTATTGGAGAGATTGTTAAGAAATCTCTGATGCATTTATGCCAAGTAATTTATATCAGTAACCATTTACAGAGTATTTTAATGATGTACTGTAGTCTGAATGAAATATAGTATATTGCTCAAAGGTACAAGAGCAATGCTCTTTGTACAATACCTGGATTTTTTACCTACAATTTTCCAACAGCAAGCCCAGAGCCCTTACCATTTTCATGTCAAACACTTAAACAGTTTAATCAGTGTTGCACAATGGATGATAGGGACTGAAGAAGTGTTTCAGAAGCACTTGTGTTTTCTGAAGTGCTTCAGTGTAATTAGATTTCTTTAGAGCAGTTGATTTCAATGCAATTCATCTTAAGCTTTCCTGGTGGAAGAACTATAT